TCTCCATTGCACGAAGCAGGATTTCTGCTCGCTGCTGGAGCATCCCAGCCTGGTTTTGCACACGCGTATGTACCTCGCTGTACCAGCCGCCCTAACAAGGGCATGCACTGGTGGAAGGCAGCAAATAGCTATCTATTCACTCCCTAAATACTGTGAATATGACTCAAGACTCCCTGCTAGTGACCTGCTTTTTACACCTACCTGGCTTTTCTCTATTGCTGTCTGGAAGAGGGGAGAGTATAAGTAAAGGTAAAACAGTCTCTGCAACCCCAGGAGACGGGTCAGTTTGGGGTCAGAAAATTTGCCAGGATAAGAGAAAACTCCCTTTCAGCTGGATTGCTTTAAACTAAGCCCCCAGCACAAAATATTGAAACATAACCACTGAGAGAAAGCATTTCAGGGGCACAGGTTGCCCAGAGAGGTGGTGGATGCCCCATCCCTGGAAACGTTCAAGGTCAGGCTGGACGGGGCTCTGAGCAACCTGATCTAGTTGAAGATGTCCCTGCCCAGGGCTGGGGGGTTGGACTAGATGGCCTTTAGAGGTCAACCCAAACTATTTTATGATTCTGTGATTTCTGCAGGTTAGTAAAAGCATATTCATACTCTAATAGAAACGACAGCCAGTGGTGGGGAGCCCTCCTGGCCCCACCAAGTCACCTGCTCGTCTCTGGGCATTGGGCTGGATCCAGCTCAGGAGGAGGCAAACCCTGCGGTCCTGAGCAGCACTGCTTTCCTGGGAGTGGAGAGAAGAGCTGGTCAGGAGGGGTTCCCACAAACCACGGTTGCAGCTTTTTATGTGGCCAAATACGTGGCACTGGCTGCAGCTGAAATCCATATGGGACCACAGAGCATCTGCTCAGGTGGGACATCACAGCCACTTCAGAGATGCCCAGGAAACACTTATCTTTAACAAATGAGACATAACATTTACTAATGAAGTTAACTGTTGAAATGTAGTTGCCACGTGCGAGACTACATTAGTCAAAAGCTGCCCATTTATTAAGGAGGATTTAAAAACCAAGATATAGTCTCCAAAGCCCCATGATCTCCTCATGCATCTAGCTTGCCCTTTCAGATAAGGGTGGAAAAGGACACAATGCAGAGTCTGTCACAAATGTCTCTCTGCCCTAGGGCTCCATTTACCGCCACACATTCGTCCCATTTACCACCAAAACACCCACACACCACTTTGTAGCGCGTCCCCCCGACAGTGCCCGTGGGCTGCACACCCCAGCCAGCAGTGCTGGGGCACCAGAGGACACCCCTTAGGCACCCCTTGGACCCCCCTCGGACCCCCCTCGGACCCCCCTCGCTCCTGACACCTCAGGACAGGAGGGGAAGGGGGTGGAATCTCAGCAGGCTCCCTACCCTGAAGCACCCGGAGCGCTACCTGCACCCTACAGCACTGCTCCGCTGAGTCCTCCACCTCCTCTGGGACCTGTCCCGGCAGAGGAGCCCAGGCGGCTTTGAGCAGCCATTGCCATCTTCAGGGGAAAGACGGTCTAGGAAATGAAGTCTGTTCCCTGATTTTCAGAAATTTCCATTTTCTTGAGCCTGGCAGGCTAGAGAGGCACAAGCTACTGCACCATATCCATGCTGCATTATGTACTCGCACCAGTAAAGAAGCCTTATCTGAGCATCGTAACTTCATGCTTATCTAGATGAAGGAGCAAAACCAGCTACTGCAAACAGTTGCAGCTTCCAGCTAATGATGCCAGCAAAAAGATACGAAGGTGACAATAGCATACAATAGCTCGCTAGTTCCTGTGTGCCACTTTAGGTCCATCTTCTCCGGGCACCACAGTGTTTCAAGCTGCTGTGGTTTCCGCAGGGGCTTTGTGGCACTGCTACAGCCGGGGATCAATCCTGCACTGGGGACCAGGCAGCAAGCGCTGAGCAGCTCCCACAGCTGCCCAAGTGCTGGCAATGCAACTGAGTCACGAGCAGGTTCAGAAAAGTTCATGCTTAAGCAAGCTCAGCATTAGTCTCGCCCGTTACGGGCTTGGTGAGCACGCTGCGATGGCAGACTGACTGGCTCAATCCATACAAGGCATTCACCACGTCTACCAAGCCTGTTAATGCAGGCACGGGCCCACGGGAATCGCCATCTCTCCATGCAGAGAAGCCCTTGCCCCGGGTGATGATCCCAGCTTGCAGCTCTGGCATCAGCAGCACCTCGCACAGCTTTTAGGATAGCTTTGTTTTCACATTTGTAGCATCACCTGATTCTTCTTTCAATAATATTCCTAAATCAGCCAGAACATGAACATTGCTTATCACACCCTGACTCCCACTGACATACCTATTTCATTATCATAATTCATGAATTCACTAATTAATTACGTTATTCACTTCCATACTCCTGATCATTCCAAATTCAAACTGAGTCACTTAGGATCAATCCAACAGTTTGGATTTCCATTTACTGTCTTTTTCTCCAGCCTCCAGAGTTTCTTCAGAAATATATTCTTTGCTTATTCTTATTCTTATTCTTATTCTTATTCTTATTCTTATTCTTAGCAATTCTGTCAGTGTTTGTGGTGCCTTCGCTCTGCCCATTCTCAGAGATCAGACAAATTCTAGAGCTATAGGGATCAAAGGTGTAGAGCATCGAGAAGGTCAGGACCTGTTGCTTACATTCTTGTATTTTGTTCTTACATCGTCCTTCAGCTTCTTAACCCTGCATTCACATGTAAAAAAAACCCAAACCATCTGAACAGTAACGAACCTGAGGCTGGAAGATGTGACTACAGTTTGTGTAGGGACACCAAGCCAGCTTAGAGAGAAAAACTAGCACTTGAGCAGTTCCGTTATCTCAAGTGGAAGAAGAAAAAAAAGGGGGAAAAAAGGAAAAGAAAACCCCCTGCATTGCAAAGTCTAACAGTTTTGGAGTACGTCACAAGAAGACAGAGTGGTCATACAGTGGCGAAGAACCGGTCTTGTTCCTTTGGGAGCTAGCCAAAGCCCTGCTGAAAGACCAGCTCGTGCTACTGATGTGTGCAACGAAAATACCCTATAATTCTTGGGAACTGGGGATTATCTCCTGAACACAAAAAACCAAAATTTGCCAAGGAAAAAAAAAAATCATACAGCGCATACAAGGTTTTGAGAGAGCGCTAGGATTCTGCAGAAGTGGTTAGAGATGGGGGAAGAGGAAAGGCCTGACACATAAAATCTGTCAGCAGTTGTGCTGGCCAGGAACAGAAGTGGGGACAGATGTGCTCTCTGCGATGAGCGGCCCCGGCGCAGGGAGACCTGAGGCGGGGGGGACCATGGCAGCGGCAGGCAGCTCCGTGGACGATCCCTCGCAGCGGGGACAGGAACCGCTGTGGCACGGGATGGACCAACCGTCGGCCGAGGAACAGGTGAAAAAGGGGGATTTCCCAACCAGTCTTCAGGTCCCACAGCAATTCAAAACCAAGTTGTCCATGGAGGTCTCCAGTGGTGGGGTCAAACCTCAGCCTGGCTGGCAGGTACAGCCCAGGTGCCAGCCAAAAATGGCTTTGCCCGAAAAATCAGTATGAGTTTGTGGGAGACCAAAAGAAACAAGCTGTAAAACACCAGAAACACAGCAGACCAAGAACGGGGCTTAATATTTTCAGCTGCATGACTTACAAATTCAGCCCAAGGGAGACTGGTAGCACCAGGCGGGTTCTCCGCAGAGCTCCCACTGATGCGCTGGTGCAGGGTCCATGCTCCTGCAAGGATATGATCCTTGGAGCTGCATGATGAGAAAGCTCTACAGATAAGCATGCAGCGTGAAAAAAAAAAACCAAACCACTATTCCTGTTAGAGATGACAAACTGTGTAGAGTGAAGTGGGCAGCAATCAGCTTGCACGTTAGCTTGAGCTAAGCCACACAGCCACTACTGACTTTTGACTTCCCCGATTCAAAGTATTGAGATATTGAAGCGCTGACTCGTAACTGCTGCGGCATCGGGTGGCGAGCCACCGGGTCACGCAGAGTGGAGCCAGCAGATCTGCTCCTGCCCAGCAGAAACGGGGCTGGACCGCCTGCCGCCGCGGATGCTGCCCTCGCGGGAACCTGCAAGCAGAAAGCAAATGATAGCGCTTTTTGAAAAACGACACCATTCTTTTTGAAAAGGAATCGAAAAGGGCTTTTTCCAGCTTCCAGGAAAGAGGGAAACACAAGTCACTGAGTTGGCTAATTTGGCCAGGTAACAAGCCATAAAGCCTTCAACGAATGAAGACCTTAGACGTGACCCTCACAAACCCGGTGGGCTTCCCCCTTGCCAGCTCCTGGCCAGCGAGCGGTGCGGCGAGGGTACCACTGTCCCGGCACAAAATCAACTCCCTGGCCCCAACTGCGCCCGTGGCGTCCGGGCTGACACGCTGCATCCCTGCACGGATGCATCCTGCATCCCTCCTTCCCCACCCAAAAGGAGCCACTTCGCTGTGCCCATCCCCGGGGCCGCCCTCCCGCTCCAGCACCTGCTCCAGGGCGGCAGCTTCTCCTCCTGTAAATTAATTAATTCTTAGGGGATACCTGCATTTTGACAAAACTTTTCCACAAGTATTGCACAAACGCTGTCATTTTCCCTTTCTAGGCAGTGGTCCACGTGTTTTCCATGGGGTTTGGGGTTTTTTTTTCCTTACACCACAGTCTTTTTCCTGTTGCGTATCAGAAGCTAGCACGCTGTTGTCAGAGAAGCTCCAATTTCTAGAGAAGTTCCGTGGAGACGGCAACTGCTTGGTAATGCTTTGGGTCATTCTATGTTTTACTGATTTTAAAATTGAAAAGCCACATCATTATATCTGTATTACCTCCTTCTGTGGAAATGCTGATTGGGTAAGGAGTGTGCCCCAAGGTTAAACACCAAATTTACTGGAACTTTTCTCTTCCAGAAAGTCTAATCAGATGGCCTTTTTTCTATCAGTTTCAAAAATCAACCTAAACTGTTATTTCCTTGTAGAGAGACCATAAAATGGCAGAGGACTGGTCCAGAATCACTTACAGGTTCTCTGAGCACATCAGGAGGATGAAGACCCATCTCTACCTTCTTCTGCTAGCTGCAGGCATCTCTGCCGCTCCCCAGATGAGCAGCATGGCTGAATTACTGACATTATTACAGCAAATGTGTGAGTCGGTGACAAAGGACATTCAGGTAAGTTCAATTTCCACTTCACTAATATAAAATTTAATATACTGAATCCTCTTGTTCTTTAATATTTAACTTTTTTGAAAGTCAAACACTGTATTTAAGCGACGCTATTTTTATTAGTGTTAATGAAGATGATATTTGAAAGGCTTAATTAATATTTTTCAGAATTTGAGGATTGAAACTCCAGACAATATAGATGTAAGTAAAACTCCTTTTTTTAAATAAAATTAACTTTTTCATAAATTTAGTCATTGGAAATTGAAATAGTTTTAAAATTGTTATCCCCTAAAGCACTCTATTTGTATTTAAGAACAAACAATGACTTTAAATGTAGCTATTATAAGATATACAATGTTATTAAAGGTATTAAATGTTATTGTAAGACAGAAAATGTTATTAAAAACAATCAAATGTTGAGTGAAAGAAAAATACGCTGTGATATAAAAGTAGCCAGGACAGCAAATATTCTTGTTCTATGTTTTTGTAAATCTCCTGCAGAACACACACACACACACACAGAGTGATTTTCTGAATCAGCTTTTTGAACGAAGGACAGTTGAAAAGGAAAGAACAAACTCGTTCACATTTCTTGCTTGTCCATCTGCAAAAATACTTCTTTTTAGTCTACCTCGTTTAGTCTACTTTTAGAAATGGCTTTTTATACCTTTACCATCAGTAAGGGGATTAAATAGGTGTATTACCACATCTTGTCTGAAGGATGGTGCTAATGCCCCGAGAACAAGACACCAACTACCGTGCGTCCATGAATGAGGTCTGTCTTAAAGATCAAATTCCCCCTTATGCATTTGCCATCTTCTTTTGCATCTCCAATAAATTTCTCCTGTTCCCTCTCGGCGTAAAGGCTCTTTTCTTTGCGAGCTGACTTTCAACAGCTTCCTCCTGATGCAGATGCTGCGAATGAGAGGGTTTTTTTTTCTGCTGTGCATCAGTTGGAAACTTGGTTCCAACATGAGATCGCAGCCCAGCACAGGGCTCTTCAGATAGTATCACGGCCAGATGGCTATTTGTGGGAATGCAATTTGAGTCATTAATTTACTGAAGGAGCAGAACAGTTCACGTTTGTGCCATACGCTAGCTGCAGGAGGGTGGGGGATTTTTGGCAGCAAATCCAGCCCATTCCTTGTAAATTAGGTGTAAAGTTCCCAGCTCTGTCACTTCTCTCTGGATCCTGTCTGGAAGAGCTCTCTTCCCAGGCTGGGGCTTGGGCTGGGTTTAACCCCGCGTTTTTAATAAGGAAAACAGACTCAGAATCAGCGGTGCCGAACGCTGGCGGCTCGCTCGTCCCTTTCCCTGCTGAGGTCCCCGGCGGTGCCACCGCAGCCCACCGCACCGGTGCCCGGCTCTCCTCCGGGGAGAAGAGCTGCTTCACTCTCACCTGTGCTTCGGATACAGAGATGACGGAGAATTTCCCAGTGTCTCTGCGTTTGCTGTTCGTCAGCGGCAGAAGCAAGCAGCTTCCCAAGCAAGGTCGGGGGAAAAATGATCCTCCTCGTCATGCAGCATCCAGGAATGACTAGCAGAAGACCACGCGTTGGTCGAGAACGTCACGGGCACGACGCTGGCCTTCAGCAGCTGTCTGCATTTCCTCTGACCTTCGCTGATTAGTTTTCGCTTCATTTTTCATGACTTTCTTCTCCCATTACACTTCTCTCCAATCTGTTCCTGCCACTGATGGAAGTGTCCTCTCCTTCTTTCCTTCTCCGTGAGTTTAGCTAATCTCTTCCAAAACAACCCCGCACTGGCAAGTGCAACCATCATCCCTCTTTGCTCTGCTTCTGCCCCATATCCCCTCCAGCCCTCCCGGCCACCTTGCCTAGACCATAAGGTCTTGGAGGCAAATGTCAGCTACCGCTTTGCAGAAGAGGACCAGCGTGCCCGGTGCACGGCCGCCCCCGGGACGGGACAAGGCAAACAGGGCTGAGAGATGAGAGTGCGACCATTGTCCCCATCTCTTCTGGCACGCAGAAGTCATCTGACGCAGAGGTTAATGTTTGGAGTCGTTTCAGGTTCATTTATTTTCTTTCTCTCATGTTCAGAGAGTTCTAGCTTCTGGGGCAGAAAGCATCTCGCATCCAAACTGAAGACATAAACCAGAATTATCTGCTGACACGACCAGATGTAAGAAATCAGACTTGTCTTCAGATGGCTGCAGAAGAGAGAGGACTAAGTCTTTAGATAATTGTATGCTTCATCTGAACATTACAAAACATATGCTAGCAGAAACTATCATCTGCCAGGTTTCTGTCTGCAGAGTAAATAAATGCGCACATCAGTTAAGCACGTTTGCCTAAGTCATTTACAAATTTGAGCCCAAAAGTCAGTAACAATTTATTTGCCACCCAGGCAGCTGGATGTAACTCAAGATGATTTTTAATAAACTCATTGCAGTTCATGGTTACAAATTCTTGTATCTCACTTTTGCCGTTTCTTCCATCTTAGGATGTGAATTGTGTCAGCACAATTTTTGAAGGAACGGAACAGCTGAAAACTAACCCAGCTATGAAAAAATTCAGTGTCTTTTTTCAAAAATTAGAAAGACTGAAGCAATCACTCACACCAAGCCTGGCAAAAGAGGTAGGAATTTATTCCTTGTCTATCAGAGATCATGCAGCAGAGATGTAATAAAATGTGATCCATAATTCATAACTAAGCCCATACGTTACAAGAGAGAATAATTTCTGTACTCGCTTGTGTTGAGTGCATGGAAGAAGAAATCCTGGCATTATTTCACATTTCCACCCTTCCCTTGCTCTAGTCTTCAGCTTGACCCACCCCTAAAATAAGGATTCATGTGTGTGATCAGCATATTTAAGGTTTAAGGAAAATCATGTCATTTATAAAATGATTTCAAGATGAAAAAGCTTTACATAACGGTTAAATATTAAGTAATTTCATTTTCTTGATTAACTTTTCAGGGGAAATGTGATACAGAAAGAAAGAATGCAACAATATTCATAGGAAAGCTGATGACATTCATCCGAAAAGCATCGAAAAATGCAAGAGCGTAGAGTTACAAGTTTCTAGAATTGCTGTAAATTTAAACAAGCAGTAAAATGTTTATTTGTTTTAAAAGTACTCTTCCTTTGTGTTAAAGTCTGGCAGGGCACATCTTCCGTTTCAGTGGTACTGTAATGGTTTGTGTTTGGCATGTAATCTCTGAAAGTATCAATGGCGAAACATCATTGGTATTTCTAGATGAAAAATTAAATGCCTGATAAAGCAAATAGTGCAGGGTATTATGGAAGGAACTGACTAGGCATAAAACTTCTGAGTTTCTCATGAAAAGGTCAAGTTAATTTCTGAACAGTCACAGCGAAACTGAATATAGATGGGCGCAAGCAAAAGCAGCTGGTTCACACTACGCGCCTTATCTAACCACTGCCTAGGCCCGTGGGTTTTGCACGCTGTGCCATGAATACTGAGTGCTACATCGAGATGTGATTTGAATGTATTTCCTTTGCCTTTCTTTAAGACCAGGGTGGACCAGTGCCGGGGGGGACGGCATGCACTCCAGCAATACGGGTTGGGGATCTAGAACTATTCAGGTTTAAGGTCAAATTTCTGCTGGAGAGTTTTGCTGGTATCACGTAACCTCAGCGGAATGGCTATTATTCTCGATAACGTGCCTGGAAGAGCAAGATCCCATGTATAGACCGTTAAACCAGTGCACAACTGACGCTGCTGAAATAGGTGATATAGCTCAGGGAACTGGTACGGCTATACTGGGAAAATCTCAGCGTTGTCATATCCATCTACAGTAAAGAGGATTAATCAATGTAATTATACGAGCAAAACTCTTCTAGTACGGAGCTGGCTTCGCCGCTGCTTTGAAGCCAGATGAGGATGAACTGCAAAACTCATATTCACACAATATTCCACCTCTTAAGCTCTGCCTAAGCTTCACTATATATATGTGTATCACTTATCAGCAAGGAGTACAAGAACGTTGCACTCACGCATATAGGATCACCTTGATTTAGTCCGCTTAGCACTCTGCCCAAAATCTTCCACAAGCACTGAGAAACACATCCTGAGATTTTCCTCTACCTGCAGCTTTGGTAGATCAGTGTAAATTTAGCAACTAAAGATTTGTAAGGAGCTGGGCATATGCCACTTAGAGAATTAATGATTTTTCTAAAGCTAATGGTGATGATAGGAGTGTTTAGATCAGTATGAATTTATTTCTATGGTGTCAATTAAATTATATTACATTTTATAGATATATGTATTTTGGAGAAAATATTTATTCTGTATTTTTACTACTTTTAATAAAGTGAATAAATGTTTGTCTCTGCCTTTTTTTCCTCAGAAATTTCTTCCAAGCTATTTCCACACTTGAGCAAATCTAGTTATTGTAAAATCTCTGATGGTCAAGGGAATGAGATCCTCGAGGTGAATGAGCTAGTGTATTGCTAGAAGCTATTTCTAACGATGCACAAATTAAAAACCAGGGAGACCATTAAGGTGCACACCTCTGCGACAGAGCTGAGCTTGCACATTTGGTTTTACTTTAACAGAGCTGCTGAGGAGCCCCTGCTAGAACATGGACTGATGGGCCATGGAGACCTAAGTGGCCGGTCATAGGAAAGCTTACCGGCCTCTCTCCCTCCTCTTCAACAGTTAAAATGGAAGGGGAGAGAATCCAAGCGACAGTCTAACTGCAAAACCTGCTCCAGGTGGTGGCAATGTCTGAGGCTCGAAGCTGAACAGTTTTTCAGTGCTTATTCTCAGATGCAGACACCTGCCAGCATCTGAACAAGCATCCCACATACTGATTGTCCGACTTAGCCTGAGTAACACCAAGCGGTGGGGATAAATGTGCTGCAAACAGAGGAAAAAACAGCTGGTGAGGTTCCTAATGTAAAATAAATACCTTTTAAATAAATGAGCGAGCATCTCCTCAGACCTGCAACAGAAATTGCAGCCCTTGCCATTCACAGATAAACATTTGCAAAGAAAGTACCTTTGGTAGAAAATGTTTTCACCCTCCTCCTGGGAGCTGGAGGCTGCCACGACGAGAGCGTCCCCAGAGCTGTCCTGATCCACGCCTCTAGAGCCCCTGGCTAAGCAGAACCCCCACCAAGACACCAAGACCAAAACGCTGTAGCCGACCTCTATTGCTCTCATAGCTCAAAACGAAATCCCAATCCGCATAACCCCCAGATGACAGCTCTGCACGTTGCAGTCTGCCTATTAAAAATACTAGAAATGGGACGTTGTAATGAAGAACACGTAACAAAGCAGGGAATGCAGAAGCTGGATGCTGGCTGTAGGTTCCTCCTGTGCTAATTGTATGTCACCCAGAACAAGCGCAGGCTTCCCCAGCCCTACAGAGGGTTTTAGATACCCAGCTACAATCAGCATTCCAAGCAGGCAGGGAAAAATAATACCAATTAGAAATGACTAGTGGGGAAAAAAAGAACCAAAAGAGATTTTCCGGCATTTCAGTCTGAATTGGGATAAGACGAAATATCTAAATAGTTTACATGAACAAAAACTAAGGAAAGATCTGATTCAAAGGGTCAGCATCTTTCCTTGCAGGCTGAGCTCCACTCTCCTGAACAACGACTCCCACCAGACCCGAGAGGACCCTCCATCAGCATTTTATCACCTTCTGTGCCCGGCTCCTCTTTTTCCCCCTTTGCCCCCTCTCCGGAGCAGGCAGCCCGGCAGGCAGCGGGGGCCCGGGGCAGGCAGCCGGCACCGCAAGCTCGCTGTGCCCTCCAGCGTTACGGCTGGGACGCCCACGGTACGTGGATCTGCATTTATTTCTTTCGGTTTGGGCTGTCCCCAGCCCGGGGCATGAGCTCCCATTGCCGGGTGTCCCTGCAGGGGCTGCGGGTGCTGAAAAAGAATTTATCCTTATTTTTCTTAGTTCTTTTTGCAAATTATTCCATATTCTCTTTTAGCTTGCACAATGGTGACTCTGCCTTTTGTCTGCCAGGTGACTGCCTGGATGCCGTTTGGAGACAGTTTCAGCCTTCTGAAGATGCTTTCTAGCTTTGAATGCTCTCCCCTGCCCTGCTGTATAGCTTTTCTGGATTTCTTTCATGTTTTCTCAAGATATTTTGATAGGTGATATGCACTTGTATACTGACTTCAAAATGTATGTTGTTAAAGAGCTTCCTGACTGCCTGCAAAAATTTGGGCACAAACCGATGAAAGAAATGTTTCTGATACTTGTATTAGAAGTATCAGCTCCTGGAAAGCACAGTAGGTTGGACAATCTTAAACATCAAAACAGGCTTTACAGAAAACCTGAAATCGGGGGAGTCTTTGGCACGTTCATCCTCCTTCAGCTGCGCAGACAGGACAAAGCCACTCCAAAATTTCCAGCCAAAGCAGCTTTCTCAGGGAACACACCTGCAGGCTCGTGGCTTGTAGGGTGGGACTGTCTTTAACCGCAGCCCTAAAACCCCTCTTAGCTGCCAGCTCAGATTAGTAGAACTAGCAACTCCACCCCTGCAAGAGCAGCTACAAACCTGGTTAGCAGCTACTACAGCTGTGGGCGACGCGTCTCACCCTAGAGAACTCTTGTGTCAGGTGCCTCAAATGAACCTGCCTCTTGTGTTCGTTTCTGCTTCTCCATCAGAATAAAACCAGATTATATAATGAATTAAAAAAAAACCAACAAACTTTCTGTAAACCTGAAATCTAGTTTTCATTTTCAGGGCAGACTCCCTAGTTCTCGCAAGCTATTTCTGAGCTCGGGGAAGCAAAAATGGGCAGGTACTCACAGGGGCAATCCCATCCGCTGCTGCAGGTTGGTTTGCAAAACAGCCTGAAATACGGTGATCTGGTACACGGCCCGAGTGGAGCAGGGCGCAGAGGAGGCAGGACACCGGTGACACTGCCATTCCGTAACACTGGTGCCAGGTATATTTAAAATCCCAGTGTTACCCTGGTATTGGTCTAACTTCATCCCAAATTTCATTCATCACCGCAAGAAAGGCTCTGATTTCAGCTGGAGAACACAAAAGGAGAGCTCTAGAGAAACGTTTGGGCTGCCTTATCAATGGGTTTCCTCTAGCTCCCTGGATGATGCTTGCATTTTTTGCTATAAATATCCCAGCGTAAATTAATTCCTTAAAAAAAAAGTTTTAAATATAGGAGAAAGGAATGAGAAGCAAATTGAGATGAGATTTTTGGTGAGAAAGAGAGGTGGCTTCCTCCAGTGTCCTTCTAATTACAGAAAAAGCTTCTGGCAAAACTTTCCAATTTTGACATCGTAAAAAAAAGAAACTGAGCGACTGAGCGAGGCGCTCGTAGTCACAGTGTTTCCAAGTGTTTGATTTCATTTGTTCTGAATTTCCTGGGTCTGACATGTCCTGATACAACGTGTCACCGTTACAGCTCCTTTTTCGGGTGCATCCCCGGAGACCCTTGCTGAAGCACGGGCGAGAATCCTGTGATACCAGAACAAATATGCAGAATACTGATTTTCCCAGTGTTTTCAAGTGTTACCATCCAACTTTTATGAAGGAAAAATACAGTTTTTCACAGTACAGCTCCATAAGATGGGGGGAGCAGGCACAGTTGCTGGTGAAACAAGGATTAATCAGCAAAATTATTTATAAATTATGCGCAGACATCGATCTATAAGACTTATTACTCTCCCTTCCTGCAATCCAGTCTCCGAAACGCAGCAGCCGGAGCAGCCTCCCATAAAGGAGCAGGAGAAAGGCGTCCGGGCGGCTGACGGCAGGTGGCAACAGGAGACCAGAAATGCAAGACGCACAGTCCTTGTCAGGTAAGCTTTTGAGCAGGAAAAATCACCGACGGGGATTTCCTTCTGACGTGCACAGAGCCAGTGCTGTTTGCAGAAGACGAGTGGTGATGCCTGGCTGCCCTCCGGTAAGGACGGGGCTGGGGGACGAGGCTCAGTCTCTGTCCCTGGGGCGAAGCTTTGCGCGGCTCAAAGCATCGCGGGGCGCCCGCTGCCCGTCCTCGGCGGGGACCCTCCGCCCGGCTGCGCTCCAGGGTGAACCCCTCTTGCCGGCAGCCCCAA